GTAAAGATCATAACGCAACAGTCCCGAATATTTTTTTTGCAGGGAGATAGTAAGTTCCAACTCCTCAATCTTGTTGGGTAGAGATCTAACATTTGAAACAAAAAGACTTGGCAATGCAGGCTTGTGAGGATTTTTGCCTAACCTCACTCGTAGACCGGCCCTGCAACCTCTTTTCTGCTTGCGTTTTCTCCGTGTTCTTTTCTTCCTGACAGGGAGAGCAGGGGGAGTAACCCACGGATATGCAGGCCATCTAAAAAGCTCAGCTGGTATGTTGTAAGTTGAGACCCTCGGTTCAAAGTTGCAACCTTCTCTGCCAATAGATAATAATTCTTGTCGACTGTAAATTACTTGTGCCTGAGCATGCAGAGTCCATAATAAGGAGTACACAATCAAAATAGTTAAAAGATATTGATCTCTGGAGTGCCTAGCTGCTGCAAATGCTTGTGCTGCCATCTTGACCAACTGTCAATAATAATAATAATAATAATAAACAACTCTTATTGGCATATAAAATAAATATAGTCAGGCTAGTTTGTTAGATTTCTGGATTCACAAGGAGTGTGAAAAAAATACATTAGTTCGAGATCAGGGCTTTGCCTCCCAACAGTTGACCCAAGGAAAACCGCTACAGAGTGCTGTCCTCTGAAGATGCCGGCCACAGTGACTGGTGAAACGTTAGGAAGAACAACCTTCAGAACACGGCCAAAGAGCCCGAAAAACCCACAACAACCAAAACAGCTACTTGTTCCATAATGTCGACCACCTCCACTGATAACATAAAATGGACCTTGTCCAGACCGGATTTCCCCTCCAGCTCTAATAATATTGAGCTGACATACTTTTGGGGACAGTCCTAATGAAGGAGACAGTGCAAAAGCAGGTGTGTGAGGGTTTCCAAAGCCCCTTGCTCACATGGACAATATCTTTCAAGATAAGTGGTTCCGTTATACCTACCATGCGATACAGCACCAGGCATGACATTACATCTGGCCAGAGATAAGGCCCTATGGTTTTGTGGACATTTAAGCAGCGTGAGGAAAGCAGCTGGTTGTCCCATTTTAAAGGGGAAGTGATGAGACAACGGGGAACAAGACTTACCTGCTGCACTCCATAATTCCTGAAACTCAGTGTCCATTAATTGTCTCTTAACTGTTTGAAATGCTAGCTCTAGACTTAGCGAACTTAAAGAGCTGATGTCTAGGCCAATCAATTTCAGTTTTTTAAAAAGGGCAGTAGACCCAAAAGAAGGGTCAGAATCTTGCAGAAGCTGATATAATAAGCCGTCTTGGTCTGAGTTATAAAACAGTTTTAGCCTGGAATGAAACATTCTCTGCCATGCCATCGTTTCCAGTGTGGATAGTCTGGTCTCAAGACAGAGCACTGAGTAGGGAACACACCTCGGTAGGCCTAATACCTTATGTAAATTTTTGTACTCGTCCCAGGCCTCATCCCTAACCAGACCTAACCAGTTTTTTCATGTGATTCATTCTGTCCTACCTTTGTGTTATTCCTGCAAAACTGATAGAGATGAACTAGCATGAGCTGAGGAAGAAGAACACATGGCATAAAAATAAGGAAAGCTGCATACTTACAGAAACTCAATACAGTATTATCATTAGTGCTGTAAGGCAACCATACAATCCCACTTCAGACACTGATTTCAGAAAAGACATACCAACAATTGAACTAATTTGGGGAATAAAAGGTACAGTTTTCTTCCCTCACATCCTTGTTATATGAGAAGTGAGGTAAACATGGTAGGTTTTTCTGTTGATGCTTCCTGACAACCTGCTGATACTAATGGCAAAATTACTTATGGCCATAATCCTATTGCACAGTTACCACTGGAGGAAGGGAAATGGCATAACTCGCAATGGCAAATTGTGGCTAATTATCCAGCCCCCATTTGGGTTTCTTTATGTGTATCAAGTCACCTGATACACTGTAAAATAGTACAGTAAAAAGGGAAACTAAAACTTTCTACCTACAAATTCCTGATTTAGTAATAGAATTAGTATAGAAAGCTCACAAGTGGGTCTCTTACACACATCAAGATAGAGTGTTGTATTAATAAAACAAAATCCATAGGCGGGCAGTATCTTTATTAGGACTGGGTACAATTCTACAGCCGTGTACGTGCTTTAGAAATCTCCAGACTTCTTCTTCAGGAGCAGAGAGGGAAGGGGGAAGATGCTTGGAAGTATACAAATGTGGTAGTATGTTTTAGATATGAAGTCTCATTCAGTCCTGCAGTGGAGAAGGCATTCTTTATGAGTCACTAGTTGCTATACAGATATCACATTCATACACAGCAGTGTCTGCTGTGATGGAGAGAAAATGGTGCTCCTCCACCTCTAAATATATAAGGCTGGTTTGCCAACTCATAGATCTGTCCCTTGACTTGCACTGATATTAAATACAGTTAACAAGTCATAGATGCAGGTTTTAACATCAAATACGTTTGTCTCAAACAGTGCATCTTAAATGTTAATCCTTGGAAAATTCAGTCTAACAATGCAAGTCAAAAACTGTTTTCTTATGACTTTCCAGAATCAGTTTTTACTGGCCAACTCTCACCTGGAACTTCACCAGGAAATGAGTCTAGTAATGAGTCTGGACCTACCCTGATAGCACAACCAAAGAAAATCAGAGGTGTTGGGTTTGGAGATATTTTCAAAGAAGGCACAGTGAAGCTTAAAACAAGATTATCCAGTAATGATTTAGAAGAGAAGAAACAAGATAAGGTAAGTAAGAAAAAAATTCAAGGGGAGGTTGTAACTTTGTCAAGATTAGAATTTACCCCCTGCCTTGTCATTACACTTCTGAAGGACCCCATTGATAGACACCTTGGGGTACCTTCTTCAAACTTTATGGCCATGTGGGGAAAGGAGTAGCTTATTCCCATTTACTGATGAGAGCAGAGGACAGCAGAAAGGCCAAATGAGGGCCTTTTATGGATTGTATTTGGTCCAAGGGTGGGAGGTTCCCCATTCTTGTACGTATATGGTATTGCTACCATATGGATTTCATTAGCTTTCTTGTTCTGATTCTGTCATTACTTTAATAGAGAAACAGGTGCCTTAATCAGGTCTGAAAATATTCCTCCTTTCAATTTTTTTATTTTCACCCTCATATCTTTTATATAGCCATTACCTTCCCATTCGTCTGGACCAAAAGTAACTCCATTTCCTGGTGTAACAGAAACTGAAAACAAACAGAAAGGTATGATTCTTATGTCAAATGCCTCATTCCATTTTTTAAATCTCCAGTATAAAACTAAACAAAATGTAGATCTTGGTTTGATTTTTAAAGATACTGTAGTGGGTCCCCCCCCCAAATGTTCCCATAGGTTCTAATAGTGTTGACTGCTTTTCTGGTTTAAAATTAAGCTGCATCAGTTAGTGTCCTTCTGTCTCCTTGACACTAAAAATTGACTGTCCTCCCCAGCCCTGTGTGAGCTTCCAGCCTTTCATGTCCCTATACTTGGATGCAGTTTCTCTCAACGTCCCATTCCTTTGTCCTTTTTTAAAAAGCACTCTGAGTTTTTTGGCTTTTCTTCCCATACAACTCTGCTTTTAGGCCCGCTGACATAAGAATCTTAGAAGTGCAGAGCTGGAAGGGACCCTGTGGATCATCGTGTCCAACCTCTGTCAGGGAGGCAGTGAGAGGTCAAACTGCCAACCTCTGCAACGTATTAGTCCCCCATCTTGTAGCAGCTCTTTTTCTTATCCTTCTCCTTCATATTCCACATATCTTCTCTCTGTTCATTCATTCATTTTTTAAATTTTATTTTTGCCACTTTATTCATCATTTTTAAAAAATTATCAACTACATTCATTTGTTCATTCATTTAGAGACGATGGAACTGCCTGTAAATACAGTGGTAATAGAAAAACTGAACAATATAACCCCATGGCCAGGATTCTGGCTTTTGTGTTTACTTCCCCCCAAACAACATATATGTTCTCCTGTATGCAGGCATTTGTCCCAGATGAAATAATCTTTCATTTCTTATTACAGTCTGCCATTGTGTTGCTGGTACCTTTTCACTTGACAGTTTGTAAACATGGCATTGGCATCACAGTACTGCCATCAAATCAATAGTGGTAGAGGAAAGCTTACAGATGTTACCTTATGTACTTTTTTTTTTAAACATACAGCCTTTCTAACTTATAAGAACTCCCAAAATTAGCCTTTTAGCTGTTAAATAAAATTATTTAGTAGTAATACTATACATTCCCGTGATACTGCTTTGTATCCCCGACACAACTCTGTCTTTTTCTCCACCATCTCATGTTTCTTTTCTCCTGTATTCTTATGAATATAAAATATCAAAAAAGCCTCTGAACCTAATATTTGCTGCGTATTAACTTACTGGACTCCGTTGCCTCATGTGAACTGCTGATAAATCTTTGTTTTCTTCCCACCTTGCTGTTTTGCATTTCCAATTAAAGTCCTGTTAATATCGTGTTAAATAACCTAGCATGTAAAGTCTTGTGCAATTACAGGCTGAACTTTCAAAAATATGTTAAATTAATGAAAATTAATCATATGTTGTTAACTGTTCTCTCATTTAAATCATTTATTGGTGAACTTTAAATACGACTTTTCATATAACATTTAGAAATATCTGAGCAGACTTAACTCATATCTGTCTTCTTTTCAGCTAAGGAATATTGCAAAACTTTGTACATCTATGAAGGTACAAATGAAGATGAACTTAGTTTTAAAGAAGGTGATATTATCCAAATAATAAGTAAGGTAAGCAATCAGTATTTTTCCTCTTAAATCTAGGCTTGCCTAAGTGAAGCATAGCATAAGTAAAACTGAAAGGATATTAAGTTACAATAGATTTAGAATGCTTAAACTGAACGGAAATAAGCATTTTCACTGTTGAGCAGTATTGTGTATCTTTGCTCATAGGTTTTTTCAGAGTGGGAATGGGGAGGGACTTTAATTGAGACTAAGGAAGTCTATAAGGGAAATTCCTTACATTTAACTCTTTAGAATATATCCTGAATTATTCAGAAGCAGAAATACCTTTGTTCAACTGTTTGCCTTGGCCTTATCTTGTGAATGCCTGCAAGTGTCTGTACTACTTCTGTTGTATAAATAACTAGTGACATAACCTATATCCATATAGTAAAACTCATTAGAGAAAGGTTTTGTTCACCTCACTACACCATTAATTGAGAAGAAATGGCTATTATGAAAAGTAGCTAACAGAGTAAAGTGACAGCACGGATTAGACGCTCCATCATGGCATCAACACCTTTAATGTATCAACTATCCAATGAGTGTTATGGCAGGCCAGCATGCTAATATAAATGTTCAGAATGAAGGTATAATTCCTGATGAGATATGTAGCATTCCTTCTCATCCCCCAACAACTTGATTTTTTCTGTTGCATCAGTTATCTTGAATGACTCATACTTAATATTTGTAAATCAGTTACAGCCAGAATCCCAACAGGAGAATTTTATTAGTGGAGCAGGAAATTCCAGAAAAATAAGTGGGTAAATTATTTATTTATTTATGTGGGACATGGTGGCGCTGTGGTTTAAACCGCAGAAGCCTCTGTGCTGCAAGGTCAAAAGACCAGCAGTAGTAAGATCATGAGAGAACTCCTGTCGCTTGTCCCAGCTCCTGCCAACCTAGCATTTCAAAAGCATGTAAAAATGCAAGTAGATAGGTACCACCACAATGGGAAAGTAATGGCATTCCGTGTCTAGTCACGCTGGCCACATGATCACGGAAACTGTCTACTGGCAAACGCTGGTTCTACGACCTGCTAGTGTCGGACACGACTGAACTAAATATCAAGGGGAACCTTTACCTTTACCTTAAATAATTTATTCTCTCTGGCACAGCCCTTGTGCCCCCCCCCCAAAAAAAACTTGCTTCATGGCTAGGAATTCTCTGGGGCTGTTTTTTAGGTGCCATGGAGAGAGGGAGAGGGAGAGGGAGGGAGGAGGAAGAATATTCCATTGTACTGATGGCCCAAGTTCCTAAACAACTGAGGATCTAGGCCTGTATTGTACTGCTTTAACATACACTTGTTCTTTGGAACATGAACGCTAAATATGTTGTTCTCTGAAATGAGTGTTCATACAACAACTGTGCTGCACTTTTGTTTTTAGTTTTTTTAAAAACCCTTTTTGTTATAGGACACTGGAGAACCAGGGTGGTGGAGAGGTGAGCTTAATGGTAAAGAAGGAGTTTTTCCAGACAACTTTGCACTTCAGATTCATGAGTCAGATAAAGATTTTCCTGTAAGTTCTCATGTGTTTTAGTTTTAAAAAAATAAAATAATCCTTACCTAAAGGCAGATAAAAGGGACATCTCCTAAAGTGAGTCAGAGAGATCTTGCACAAGGGGAAGAGTATGTGCAGTGTGCTGGTGTATGTATTCTTAAATTTGATACAGGAGGAAACGTACTTTTAGAATCAATAGGACTGTGATATCCAGTAGGATTTCATTGTCCCTTGTTTGTTAAGCAGCAGTCTGAGCCTTAAATCATACAAAAAAAAGTGATCTTTGTCAGGAAAGCTGCTGCTGTAATGATGGGGTTCAACCAATAATGCCTTACAGTGGTGCCTCGCTAGACAGTGATAATCCGTTCCACTGAAATCGCTGTTTAGCGAAATCATTGTCTAGCGAAAAGCATTTCCCCATTGGAATGCATTGAAACTTGTTTAATGCATTCCAATGGGGAAGAATCGTCGTTGTCTAGCGAAGATCGGCCATAGGAAAGCTGCTTTGCGAACCACCGATCAGCTGTTTAAATCGCTGTCTTGTGAAGCTTAGGTCCCCAAAACACCTGTTTGCGAGCACAGAGGGAGCTGTCAAAATCATCATCTAGTGAAAATTGGTTTGCGAAGCAGGGACCAAATACTGTCCAGCGAAATTCCCCCATAGGAATCACTGTTTTGTGAATCGCTACAGCGATTGCAAAAAGCCAATGTCTAGCGAAAAAACTGTCATGCGGGGTAACTGTCTAGCAAGGCACCACTTTATTTACATCTAAATGGGAAAACTGTAAGATGCTCGGCATGGGGCTGTCTCTAAAGATTACTTAGATTTCGACAGGAAATTGGACACAACTTTTCTCTTTCTTTCTTTCTTTCTTTCTTTCTTTCTTTCTTTCTTTCTTTCTTTCTTTCTTTCTTTCCCAGCTTCATTGAAAGCCTTTCTGTTTCAGAATAATTCCAACCACAATAGAGGAGCAAACTTTGCGAGGTGAGCCCAGGCAGCCTCCAGAGCTGAGGCAACTGAAGCAGGAGGAGGAGGAGGAACCACAGCTCGGTGCTGAGTTGGCCGCTGGCCGGGCTGGTGCTGGGACTGCCGAGAGAGAAAGAGAGTCAGAGAGCCACTTCCCTGGAAGAGGCGGCTTGGAGGCGCTGTTTGAGGATGGGCCGGGAGTGAGCTCTGCTCTCAGGCATCACTCAGTGGCGGCTTGGGCACTCGGGGAAAAGGGGCGGCAGTGCACCTTGCTCGCCAACTCTCCTCCAAGACAGTGCCTCTTGCACCCTCCATCCAGAAGTGCAGCTGGCAGATAGGCAGGCTGGCTGGCTGGCAGGCTGTAGTTCCAGACAGAGGGTGTCTTGGGAGAGAGCCAGCAAGGCAAGACTTTTTTTTTTGAGTATTCATGGGTGCTTCAGGGGGGCAGGCAAGGCAGGGGCCACAAACTATTATCTGGCAGGCTGCAAATGGCCCTGGGCCGCATGTTTGAGACCCCTGCTGTAGACCATCTTGACTGCTGCCATTGGTGTTGTCAGCATTTAGGTTAACCTTTGCTATGTAAAGTTTGGCATCTGTTTTCCTGCTGGCAGTGCAGGCACAATACTGTGCAGCAATACAGTATTGGGCTACAGCGGCAAGAGGAGTAAACTCCCCCCCCCCCGGTATGGAGGGTGTTGAAGGAAGTCCATAGCCTAATTACTTATATATCTCAGTTACCCAGCTACGACAAACTAGGAAGAAAATGGTGGCAAGAACAGACCCAGCCTCATGTAAAACAGCCCGGAAATGTTACTTGTAACTGCTTCAAGCAGCATATACAGTGGGGTCTCGACTTACGAACGACCCGACTTGCAAACAATTCGAGTTGCGAACCTGCCCTATAGGGAAAGTAAGGACTCGACATGCGAACTTCCCTCGAGTTACGAACAGGGAAAAAAGTCCCCCCTCCCTCCCCTTAGAGGCTTCTGGAGGGGGGGAAAGGGTCAGAAACTTAAAAATAAATACTGTACTGTTAAATAAAGTCACTTACCAGGCCTTGGTAGCCCCCAAACCACAGGAAAAAGAGCAGGAAAGAGCTAAAAGCCGACACCCAGAAAGAGCCTGGCAGCCATTTTGTGGTTTTCCCCGCTCCTCTCCCCGCCTAACAGCTGATCGGCTGGCTCTGAGCAGGCTTCTGGAGGCTTGCTCAGCACCTAAAAAGCCTGCCTGAGTGCCTTTGTGCTGAAAAAATCAGCACAACATGCTTTAAAACATTATTTAAAATTGGCTTCGTTTTAAAAAAAAGAGTTCAAAAGTGCTGCCTTTAGTATTCCCTGCCTTCCCTGAACCTAAGGGGAAAAAAGAAAGAAAATATCCCCCTCTAGTGGCAGAAGGCAGAATAGCAGCTTCCCATTAGTTTCTACGGACAGAAAAGAGCAGATACGGATTAAATGGTTTTCAATGCATTCCTATGGGAAATGCAGATTCGACTTAAGAACTTTTCGACTTGAGAACCACCTTCCAATACGGATTAAGTTCTTAAGTCGAGACCCCACTGTAAACTGACATGCCAAAATTCACACCTCTAATCAGTGGCAGCTTGTTTTGCAATGGCAAGACATCCATCATGGAATCATAAAATCATGAAGTTGAAATGGGCCTGTAAGGCCATCAAGTCCAACCTCCTGTTCAGTTCAGGAATACAAACCAAAGGATGGTGATGTCTAGCCCATCAGTTATGATAGTGAAAATTAAGCCCTAGGTATTTAAATAGCTTTCCCATGGATTATTCAAGATTGAGATTTCCAGCTCTTACTCAATATGTTTATTTTAAATTTGCCATAATTAAGAATCAGTTTGTTACAGGAAAGATCGTTAACACATTTTTCAATTAGCCATCTAATGCCAATCTTAATATGTGATAGTAGTACCATATCGTTGGCATATAACAGGATAGGAACTGCTTTGGAACTCAGTCTAGGACAGTGACTAACAACTTCCGGATTGTTGATGTACAGGTTAAACAGGGTAGGGGAAAGGACACACCCCTGTTTAACACCCCTATTAATGGAGACTTATTCAGAGAGGATGCCGTGGCTGGATGAATGAATGTGGCATGTGTTGTCCGTATGCAGTCTCTGGATCAGTAGTAGCAATCGCCTGTCTAGACAGGCATCTTGTAAATTTTCCCAAAGAAGTTTTCTGTCAACCAAATCAAAAGTGGCTTTAAGATTTAAGAAAGCAACATACAGATGCAACTTTGCATGGGCCATCTGATTGGCTATAAAAGTGGACAGTACCAAACAGTGATCTATAGTAGATTTGCCCTCCTGAATACCCACCTGTTCAGGGCCCAGTATGTTGTTATCAGCTGTCCAGATGATAAGCCAATTCAGCAGGTGATTGGCATAAACCTTGCCCATTGCTGACAGCAAGCTAATTGATCTATAGTTGTCCAGAGATTTCCTGTCACCCTTTTTATATATGGGAAAGATTGTGGTCTGGGTATCAGCCCAGACCTTTTCACAGCTATAAAAAGCTCAGCCAGGATTGGTGTCTACCAATCCACTCTCTCTTTGAGTATATCAGGGGGCAGCAAATCGGGGCCAGATGCCTTCCCGGATTTTATATTAGCTAATATTTGCTTTATTTTTGCAATAGAAATGGGGGGGGGCCTAATTGGGTACTCCTGTGAGCATATCCTTATCAAACTGGGGTTCATTTTTCTAATCATGGTAGAGTGACAGGAAGTAAAGTGATGCCTCGCAAGACGAATGCCTAGCACAATGAAAAACTTGCAAGACGAAAGCGTTTTGTGTTTTTTTTTGGTGACTCGCAAGACAAATTTTTTTATGGCCATGCTTTGCAAGACGAATAGGAACACATTAATTAAATTTCAATGCATTCCTATGGGAAACTGAGCTCCAGCAGCAAGCAGCACCACGCCCTGCATTGGGCTGGCATGGGGAGCAGCATCGGCATGGCTCACTTGCTCTCCTGCGGCGCCGGAGTTGCAGTCAATGGGCAGCAGCGATTTCACGCCAAAGGGCGGCCGGGAGCAACTTCTCCTTCGCCTCTGCCTCCTCCTCCTGCTGTTGCTGTCACTGCCTGATCACAACCTCCAGTGCCACTCGTAGGCTCCCTTCGGGCGGGGAACAAGACGGTGGGGTGAGCTCGAGCTGAGCCCTGGCAGCAAACCGTGCCGCACTCTGCACCAGGCTGGCATGGGCATCAGTATTGGCATGGCTCGGGTGCCCACAGAGAGGGCTCTGTGCCAGCTGTGGCACGTGGGTTCAGCTTACTTTTGTGTATAGATGACCGTCAATTTTTACTCTAACTATTTTAGGAAAAAGTAGTGTCTTATACACGGGAAATATGGTGCTTTCCAGAATTGTTTGGGGTTCCTCATTTTAATAGAGTTTGATAAAATTTCCGAGTGGGCTGAGGTATGATGTTTTAGGTTAAATTTGATCACTGTTGCTAATTGGCACCTAATGCTAAAGTACCTGGAAGGAAAATTGGTACAGTTTGATTCCAAAAGTAATTATAAATTTGGCGCAGCTCTTGCTCAAGATGAAGTCTAACCAGTGCCGAATAGAGGGGAACTAGTACTTCATGGGATTTGGAGACTATACTTCTGTTAGTGCAGACTAAGGTAGCATTTGCCTTTTTTGTAGCCACACTGTTGGATCATATGTAATCTATAATGACTTCTGTGAGGCAGTCAGCATGGACCCTGTACAAGATGGTATTTTCAACATGTAATGCTTTTTCTTCTGGCCTATTCAGCATGCTGCTACAGAACTCTGCCAGAGTGCCAGAATCTGTTCATATAAAAGTCAGTATAGCATCTGAACTCCCTTTGACTTAAACAAGAGCTACTGTTGCTTTGTAGTGCTTAGTACCTTATTCTTTTTCTTTTCTTTTGTCAGTCAGTCAGGGCAGCAGAGATTATACCTTCCAAGGGACTTTCAGAAACACAGATGTACACACACACACACACACACACACACACACACACACACACACACACGGAGGGAGGGGGAGAGAGAGAGAACCACTTGTAATCCTACTACAAGTAATCTGCAGCAAAGGACATTAGGTTGCTGGTACTACCAAGGATAGGAATCAGTTGTTTTTAGTGTTTGATGTCTAATTTAGCATGTGATTCTGGGAACTGGCCTAGTCATTATAATGTCCTTTTTTGCAGAAGCCAAAGAAACCGCCTCCTCCAGCAAAAGGTCCAGGTATGTAATGCTGGATTTTATCAGATTTTAACACCAAAAATGGAAGAGTGAACTTGAAGGCTTGTTCATGTATTATAATACAGTTGTGCCCCGCTAGACGTTTACCCTGGCAAACGACGAAATCGCTTGACGATGACTTTTTTACGACCGCTATTGCGATCGCAAAACAATGGTTCCTATGGGGGAAATCCACTTTACGTTGATTAGGTCCTTGCTTTGCAAACAGTTTGTTCGCCAGACGATGATTTTTCCGGCTCCGCAAAATGGTTTCCCTTCGCTAAATGGCTTCCCTCCCTTCACAAAATGGCTGTTTTCCTGACAGAAGCTTCGGAAGACAGCGATTTTAAACAGCTAACCGGCGGTTCTCTATGGGTGATTTTCGCTGGACGATGAGAAATCTCCCCACTGGAACGCATTAACTGGTTTTCAATGCATTCCAATGGTTTTTTTTTTTTGCATGACGATGATTTCGCTATACAGCGATTTTAACGGAACAGATTATCGTCCTCATGCGGGGCACCACTGTATTCCAAGGCAGATTTGTTTCAGAGATAATTTACTCCTGTTTTTAAGGATGAAAATAGCCCTTTAATTATGACCAAGATTAAACACAAGTTAACATTTTTAAAGATCAGAGAAAAAAAATGTGGTGGAAATGTGAGAAGTATCTGCTCATGCTGTGTGTTATCTTGAACTCATGAATTTGCTTGTGCTTGTCTCAGGCGGGAGCCAGAGTAACACCTTTTCCAATTGATTAAGGCAGTCCAGACAAACTGGGGCACCTCTGATTTCTCTAAGTAATATCAGGTAGAGCTTAGAATGCTACTTTTTTCTCTTGTTACCAGTAGTCTGTCAAAAAGAGAAACTTGTTATGTTGAATATTTTTTATTTGATTTGATTTAAATTATTTACTGTATATGCTGCCTTTCTCCCCATAGGTGACCCAAGGCAACTCGCAACAGATAAATAAGAAAATTAAAAACATTATATAAATATCACATTAAAAACAATTAAACATGCATTAGGATTTAAAAAATCAAGTATAAAAACAATTGAAAAACATTTATAATCTTCATCTCAGTGTGTTATATTTTTATTACTGGCACGCCAGAAATTCTTTCTAGTGGCCAGGTTTCGTCTTCCACCCTGAAAATACAAAAAGAAAATACAGAAAAACATTAACCCTGCCATTTTCTTTCCAGATACATAGGACTTCAGTCCTCATACAGTACAGCTGCAGCTGGGGAAGGATTTTATAGTTCAGCACATTAGGAAACTGCCATGTCGATTTACTGTTGGTTATTTTGATTTCTCTGATGTGTACAGCACAACCTCTCATATGCATGCCTACTTGTCTGAAGTTTGATCAGCATACTGCTCTCTCAGGCATAATGGGGTCTTCTGTTTGTAAATGCTACTCAGTTTTAACAAACAAGAACGTTTTAACTTTGGTTATCACTATGAGTGTTGGCAAAATTCTATTTATTTATTTATTTATTTATAGAAGATAAAAACAATTTAAAATATACAGTTTTACATTAAAAAACAAAATGATATAAAATATAATATAAATTTACGATTTTAACAGTTAATTTAAAGCAAAAAGTCCCAAGATGGCAAGAATAAAAGAAGAAAAAAAAGAATGACTTAATTGACTGAAGAATGAAGAACTGAGATACCGTAATTTTTCTAATGCCTGGAATCACAGGGTTTAGTGGGGCATACATATCATAATAATGCTTAAACCACCTCTCAGGACTTCACCAAATCAATGAAGGATTCCTTCCACAACAGGCTTGAATCAGTAATTTTCAATAAAGATGTGAAAAATACATGTGCACTTTTCGTGTGTGGGTGGGTCATTGTATCAATTGCCAGCACTTTTTAATTGGCTGTAACTCTAGTCACATTTATCTAATTGATTTGACATTTGCCTTGTTTTATAGATGGATAGAGCATACAATTCTTCTTTAAAACAGCAGTTTAAATCATGAATTATTTATTGGCTTTCCATTCAGGTTCAAAGCCAGAACTTCCATCTTTAGAGAAAAAAACTCTTCCCAAAAATGAAGAAAAAGGTAAATCTGCCTTTATACAATGAGATATAACATGATCCCCCTTCCCAGGTTTGGTTTATGATCCTTAAGGGTCATTAGAGTTAAAAGCCACCCCTTGTAGCCTGGAAACAAAAAAAATTACATGTTTGGCCATTTGAGGGCACAAGAGAGCTTTTTAGTAAAAAATTGTTTATCTTTTTTAAAGCCATTTTTCATTTAACAGAAATCCATTGTAGCAGCCTTTATAGCAGATAGCCACTGATTTAAAATTTAACAACAACAATAAGCAAACTAGCCCTCGTGGAATGCAACTTTCGGGTTCTGGTAAATCTGACAAAGGAACTGATATCACCCATCCCAGCATATAGTTGAAGGACTTATGTTTTCATTACCACAGGATTTGTGGAGGATTCAGAAAAGTCCAAGTCCTTGTATCCTCACAAGGTTACACTCAAATCAGTAAGTATAGATTTAGGACAGAATTGGCATAGAATAGGACTGACTTCTGCAAGAGATTGGTTGCTTTTGATTAACCCTTCTGAACTTGTACAAGGAGAGTACATTGAATTTTGTGATAAGCTTTAGAAGTGGTACTTTTCTGATTTTCATTTTTGTTTAGATGTGCACAGAATTTAACTCTGCAGGGAAAAGGTGAATGGCAATGGCAGATTAAACTGACAGTTTTTCTTAGTGGTTTCTGTGACTCACACAAATGAGCCTTGTGACGTAACATATATATGCTTGGAATCTTCTAAAGTTAGGTGGTACTTATAGAGCCCCTTCAATCCTGTTGCCTGTACCGGAGCACGCCTTAGTTTGAGCCTCTCAGTTCCTTTTGTGTGCTGCTGAGAAACAGAATTCAGACTGCAAATGTGAAGACAATTTTAAATAAATATTCAAAAGCTTATGCAGCAATGTTTAACAGAACCTTGGCCTGAATAGGAACCTGCAGTATAGTAAATAATATCAATCTATAAATATGTAATTAATATAAATCTGTATATCAATACAGGCTAATTTTGCAATCCCAAAGAAGGGCAGTGCCAAAGAATTCTCCAACTACCATACAATTGCACTCATTTCCCACGCTAGCAAGGTTATGATCAAAATCGTAAAAGGTAGGCTTCAGCAATATGTGGACCAAGAACTCCCTGAAGTACAAGCTGGATTTTGAAGGGGCAGAGGAACTAGAGACCAAATTGCTAACATGTGCTGGATTATGGAGAAAGCCAGAGTGTTCCAGAAAAACATCTACTTCTGCTTCATTGACTACGCAAAAGCCTTTGACTGTGTGGACAACAAACTATGGCAAGTTCTTAAAGAAATGGGAGTGCCTGACCACCTCATTGATTTCCTGAGAAATCTACGTGGGACAGGAAGCAACAGTTAGAACTGTATATGGAACAATTGATTGGTTCAAAATTGGGAAAGGAGTACGACAAGACTGTATATTGTCTCCCTGCTTATTTAACTTATATGCAGAATACATCATGCAGAAGGCTGGACTGGAGGAATCCCAAGCCAGAATTAAGATTGCCAGAAGAAATATCAACAACCTCTAATATGCAGATGATAGCACTCTGATTGCAGAAAGTGAGGAGGAATTAAAGAACCTCTTAATGAAGGTGAAAGAGGAGAGCGCAAAAAACAGTCTGAAGCTCAACATCAAAAAAACTAAGATCATGGCCACTGGTCCCATCACCTCCTGGCAAATCGAAGGGGGAAGCTATGGAGGAGGCAGTGAGAGATTTTACTTTCTTGGATTCCGTGATCACTTCAGATGGTGACTGCAGCCACAAAATTAAAAGACATCTGCTTCTTGGGAGGAAAGCAATGACAAACCTAGACAGCATCTTAAAAAGCAGACACATTACCTTGCTGACAAAGGTCTACATAGTCAAAGCTATGGTTTTTCCTGTAGCGATGTGTGGAAGTGAGAGCTGGACCATAAAGAAGGCTGCCGGCTAAAGAATTGATGTTTTTAGATTGTGGTGCTGGAGGAGACTCTTGAGAGTCCCCTGGACTGCAAGGAGAACAAACCTATCCATTTTGAAGGAAATCAGTCCTGAGTGCTCACTGGAAGGACAGATCCTGAAGCTGAGGCTCCAATACTTTGGCCATCTGATGAGAAGAGAAGACTCTCTGGAAAAGACCCTGATGTTGGGAAAGTGCGAAGGCAAGAGGAGAAGGGGACGACAGAGGAGAAGATGGTTGTACAGTGTCATTGAAGCTACCAACATGAATGTGACCGAACTCCGGGAGGCAGTGGAAGACAGGAGTGCCTGGTGTGCTCTGGTCCATGGGGTCACGAAGATTCGGACACGATTTAACAACTAAACAAAAAAAAAAACAAGTCAGGGTCAAAAAATGTTCTGACAATATGTTCTCTCCACCAACCTGCAATAAAATGAGTTCAGATCTTCAGGAACAGATGAACTGCATACAAGTGTATTGATAGAAATGGCTGAAGAAGTCTCAGAACCATTGTCCATTATTTTCTTGAAATCATGAGAAATGGGTGAAATGCCAGATGATTGGAGGAGGGTTAATATTTTCATGTCTTTAAAAAGGATAAAAAAGAGGAACCAGGGAATTATAGACTAGTCAACATGGCATCAATCTCAAGGGAAATTCTGGAGCAGTTTGTACTGCACCTTGAAAACAATGCAGTAATAACTAGAAACCAACCTGGATTTGTCAAGAACAAATCCTGCCAAACTAATCTTATCTCATTTTTGGGTTGGAAAATCCCCCTAGTATATACTGTGAATGCTACAGTAGTATATCTTGACTTCAGCAAAGTAGTCATACTCTGACTTCAGCAAAGCCTTTAATAAAGTGCCCCATAATTAGCAAGCTAACTAGTTGTGGGCTGGATAGAACATGGATCTCCAAAGTATGGCCTGTGGGCCTCATCTGGCCCACCTTGCCTTTTTATTTGGCTTGTGCATGAGCGTGGTTGTACACACGCGTTCCTTCATCCCTCAAAATGTGGAAAATATATTATGTGGCCCTCATGGTGAAAGGTTTGGAGACCTCTGGGATAGAACAACTGGCAGGTGGACACACAATTGGTTACAAATTTGTCATCAGAGACTGCTTATCAATGGCTCCTTCTCAAAGTGGGAGGAGGTAACAAGGGAGGGTACCCCAAGGCTCAGTCCTGGCCTGGTGCTCTTCCACATTTGAATTCAACTGGATGAGGAAGTGCAGGGAATACTTATCAAATTTGCAGTTAACACAAAATTGGGTGGAATAGCTGATACATTGGAAGACAGGAACAAAATTCAAAAAGATAGGCTTGATCACTGGACTAGAAACAACAGAATGAAATTGAAACCAAATGCACTGTTATAATATGGAGAATACTTGGCTCAGTAATAATACAGCTTAGAAAGATACTGGAATTGTTGCAAATCAAATGCTGAATATGAGCCATTTATATAATAAATCCCATCGTTCAGTTGCCCTTTTGTATTGGACAGTCTTTTCAACACTTCTGATAAGATACCATTTCTGCTGCTTCCCATATCTTCTCAATGAGTTCCTCTTGGTTTGGTATGTCCAATTTCTTCCAATTCTTAGCATAAAGAATTCTGGTTGCAGTAACTCTATATATGACTAAGTTTTTTACCTTATCTATATTGTCTGGTATAATGCTCAGTAAAAACAGTTCTGGGGTTAGCGGAACATTACAAAGCAGTATTTTTTCTAACAGATTATATACTGCTATCCAATACTGTTCTGCTACTCTGCAAGTCCACCAGATATGTTAAAAGCTTCCCTCATGTGCTTCACACTTCCAACAAACATTTGACACCTCTGTATAAATCTTTGACCATTTTTCCCAGAGTCATATGTCACCTATAAAACATCTTGTATATGCAGAAATTCGATTTGATATTGCAACATGAATAGATTGGATGTCAGTACATTTTGTGTTCTCCTCCTCCTCCTTTTCCCCCCTATATCTCCCTTTACCTTCTGTACCCCTTACCTTATCTCAATTAGTAATTTTTTAAAAAGCTGAATCTGAGCTATAAGGATGATTGGGAGACTAGAAACCAAGCCCTGTGGGGGAAAACTGAAACAACCAGGCATGTTTAGCCTTGAGAAAAGAAGATTGAGAGGAGATAAGATAGTAATTTTCAATGAAAGATAGTCATACAGAGTTGCAGCAGGATCTGTACTCAATCATCCCATGGTGCAGGACACGTAATAATGGGCTCAGGCTGCAGAAAGTCAGATTTACACTGAATATCAGGAAAAACATTGTAACTGTTAGAGCAGTACAACAATGGAACCAATTACCTTAGCACGTGGTGAGTCCAACACTGGAGGCATTCAAGAGAAAATTAAACAATTGTCAGATCTACTTTGATTTGGATTCCTGAACTGGGCAGGGGGCTTGACTCCATGATCTCCACCTCTGTGAGTCTGTGATTCTGTTTATTTGTTAAAGTACATAAACTATTATAAATTTGTACATTCTCAAATATGTACAGTGGTGCCTCGACTTACGACCATAATCCGTTCCAGAAGATGTACGTAACTCGAAATAGTCATGTTGAAGCACCATGTTCCATAGGAATGCATTGAAGTGCAATTAATCTGTTCTGGCTGAAGAAGAAAATCACACACAAAAAAACACTGCAAGACTAATTGGAAACATAATTAATCCCTTCCGGCCTAAGCATGCAAGACCCATTGGAAATGCACAGAAAACAAATGGAGCAGATTGGAACTGCACAGAGAACAAAGGGAGCAGGTTGGAAATGCAAAGAAAACAGAAAAAAGCAAGTGAAGCATGCAAGACCCGTCGGAAATGGAGACCCCCCCAAAAGCAACCAAACCCCCCAAGGCCCATCAGAAATGGGGGGAGTCAAAAAACAAAAAAAGTCCCAAGACCTATCAGAAATGGGGAAAAACTCCCCAAAAAGCAACCAAACCCTCCAAGACCCATCAGAAATGGGGGAAAAAAACAAAAAACAAACTCTGCAAGACCCATCACAGCACAGAAGCATACTCCCCAGCTCAAAGCCACACTGCAAAAACACCCGGAACAGTTTTTTAAAAGCAGAAAGCAGCACCTTAACCTTACCAGGCAGCCCAAAGCCTCCCTGCAAACACGCACACACTCACTCAGAAGCTAAAGGAGGCAGTCCCAAGCCTCCTCCGACACATGCTCTCTAACTGCTGGGGCAAAAGAGCTACAAAGAAGCAGCCTCATCGCCTCTTACAGTTAGATACAGTATTTGAACTTCCCACCTTTTTTCCATGCCTTTTTCTGTTTGTAAGTGGAAGCTCTGGTCGCAAGTAGAAGCAAAATTTTGCGGTCGGAGCTGGTCGTAACTCCAGATGGTCGTAAGTCAAGGCACCGCTGTAGTAAGGGGCAGAATCTTGCTGATATATGTTTACATAATGTAAATTCTGCAAGTCTTGATGACAAATTGTTGCTCATTAATAAGGTGTCTGTTACATTCCTTGCACCCAGCATCTTGTTAGTGGATGACAATTTGTCACCAAGACTTATAGTGTAAATTGGCCATAGGATTCTAGCCATTGAATGTAAATAGAAATGCCCACAGCCTTTTGTTTACAAGTCCTGGGCATTATTGATGGAGCCTTTGAGATGTAGTTAATTCATAGTTTTGCCATAACTACACAAGCAGAAACATAAAATGCTTCACAATATAATAGTCATATATTGAGTTGGCTGCTTCAGTATGAAGAGAAGGCTCCTGCTGACGAGGCCAAATATCCTGGAAAATGTTGGAGTTTAATCATGTTAATGTAGCGGTAGCAGTATTTTGCTTGTGTATTGTCCAGATAATGTGATGAACTTAGAATCAAATTTAGTTCTTATAGGAAGAGTGAGAAGGGAAACTAGATGACAAAAGCTTATTCCTTAAGGTTTTGCTCTTGTTTTGTCTTTCTCTGCTGCCTCAAACATAGACAACACTTGGGCCTTGTGTTCAGAACAATCTACGTCTACAGAAAAACCTCACTAAAGCAAAGCAAAGTGTGCTGCTTATATACCGCCCCATAGCACTTCAAGCACTCTCTGGGCAGTTTACAATTTAATTATGCAGGCTACACATTGCCCACCCCCACAAGCTGGGTACTCATTTTACCGACCTCGGAAGGATAGAAAGCTGAGTCAACCTTGAGCTAGCTACCTAATTGCATGTGCACAATTTACATGATATCTGGACAGGAAGTAATTTTAAAGTACCACCATTTTAATAGCACTCACAAATATTTCTCTATTTGATTTGTCAGATGAAAAGGCTGCATTGGATCAGAAAGCATCTAAGCCATTAGCTCCTCAGGTACCACCCAAAAAACCTATCCCTCCAAGTAAATCCAATAGCATAAGAAGTGGGATTTTGCATCAAAAATGGCCAGACAAACCCATTTTGCAACCATCAATATCTAAGTAAGTATATCTTTTTTCCACCTGCATTAAATTGTTCAGGCACTATGTCTTGTTTGAAAGCCTGCAGCAGCAGAGTGCTGGTATGTTTTCATAGCACTCACATGTGCAAATATTTGCAGATGAATGTGCTGCAAAAACATACCAGTGCACTGCTGCTGCAAGCTTTCAAACAGGATGTGGGGCCTGAACAATTTAACTACCTCTTAAATTGTGAAATTTTGGAAATTTTAATTGTTACATGAATAACATGTAACATATATTGACAGTATAGCGGAGGTGCACATAGCTTGTATTTTTCATCAGCAGGAGGGGGAGCACTCTTCTCTGGCTTTTGGGTTACATTGGGAATGAAATTTAACAGGGATAAGCACAAAGTTCTACATCTGGGGGCAGAATCAAACACACGGTTACAAGATGGAGAATACTTGGCTCTATAATATTATGAGCAAGAAGATTCTTAGAATTGTTGTAGATCACAAGGTGATCTACAACCATGCAAGGCAGTTGGAAAAAAGGCAGATGCTGTTTTAGGTTGCATTGACAGAAGTATAGTCTCCAGATCCCTTGAAGTACTAGTTCCCTTCTATTCAGCACTGGTTAGACTTCATCTTGAATACTGTGTCAGGTTCTGGACACCACACGTCAAAGAGGATGCTAACAAACTGGAACACGTTTAGAAGAGGGTAACAAGGATAAAGAGGGGACTGGAATCCAAGCCTTATGAAGAAAGACTGAAAGAACTGGGCTTGTTTAGCCTTGAGAAAAGAAGACTGAGGGGAGATATGATAGCACTTTTTAAATATTTAAAAGATTGTCATAGAACAGGGGTCCCCAACCATTTTCACCCCGCGGACCGGCTGGGGCAGAGGTAATTAACCCCCGGTCTGTGGCCCAGTGCAGGGGCCTGGGGGCAGAGAGAAGCCTTCTCTTGATGTGTGCGCAGAGCGTATTCTCCTTAGAAAGTGCCCCCCATCACGTCCAGGTGGCTAATCAGTGACATGAGGGTTCGGAGTGCTCTCTGTTCTGCTGCGGGAGAGGGTCTGGGATCGGCATTTTCACATCCCAGGTGTCTTGCCTAGAAAACGGACGCCTCCCTCTCTTTGGGGGCACCGATGTGAACAAAGTATTTCTGTAAAGCCGATGGGGGTTGCACCCTTGGTGTGGGTTGGTAGGTCTCCTGCAAGAGGTCAGGGCAGGGTAGAAAGCACCTGATAACTGATCGCCCCATGTCCCAAAGCAGCAGAAGGAGTCAGGGGAAGGGAGGGCAGGACTGGGCTGGACTCCGCTGTGCTGCACCCTCCATCTTGGGCACCCAGGTGAACGCCTTGCCCTGGGCCCGATTCCTGTGACGGCGAGCCGGCTTAGAGAGGTGAGAGCCCTACCCCCGCCACCTGTGCTTCGTCCTTGCTTCCCTCGGGCCCCGGGGCCAACTGGCCAGCTGATGCCTACTTGATGGCCAGCAAGCTTGCGCGGCGTCGGGTGTTGCATCCTGACCAGGAGAGGCCAGGAGAGAAGGTTCCGCCGCAGCCACTGAGGGCCCTGGGGCTCTTCCCTCTGCAGGGCCTGGAGAGCCACTGGCACCTGGATTCCGTGGTCCGGGTCCCCCCCGCCTCTCCAGGCAGCATTGTGGGGTTGGTCATGACGGCGCAGGATGTAACTCCTGGAGGCGGTTGCCTAGCAACCGTCTGGCCGATGCAGAGGTGAACGATGGAGGTGGGGAGGGTGAGTCAGGAAGCCCCCGGTTTGCACCAAGGAAGCGTTGCCAGGTGGAAGGGCCCGGGGGAGCCCCCAGGCTGGGCTGGGTTAAATGAAGAGTCTGCGGCGGGGGGAGGAGCAAACCTGGGATTTCCCCCTTGTTCCCCTGCCAGGTGCGGAAAGGGCAAGGAGTGGCATAGCCAGAGGGGTTGAGGAGGAGGAGAAAGATGTCACTGTGGCTGCCTTTCTTGGTGGTTCCATCTAGCAGCTGGCATTGGGGGGGGGAGAAAGAGGAGGCTGTGGAGGGGGCTGGACGGGAGGGGCCGAAGAGTGGCGGCATGGATCGACTCAGGAGCCAGCGTAGAGGGGCGGCAGTGCAGGGGCCCAGCTCCTGATGGGGCTCAGAATCCTGGAAGGGCTACCTGGCAGCAACCCACCCAACTCACAAGTTCCACAGGTGATTGCCTGAATTTAGGCACAACAAGCAGCATGTTTGTTTAGGGTTCAAGCCGGAGAAGGTTTGCACGGGGGTATATGCTATCTTTCAGTTGCCCATGTAGCTAGATGTTTCTGTGCTTCCTGAGCTCCTGCCTGGAGGAGCTGGCCCGCAAAGACTATCACTGCCTGAGGGACTCTGAGGTCAAAGCCAGAGGGTTGAGGAGGTCCAGCAGCCCCACAGCGAACTCCAGCCACTGAGCCGAGCCCAGCGTCAGTTTGAACAACTCATAGATGACTTCACGGGCAGTGCAGCATGGGAGATTGTGGCGTGCCGCTACTACCACGACCACCCCGAGAAGGGACCACCGTCCCTGGCCCGGCCTCACTTCAGCGTGGGTGGCTGGCCACGCTGCTGCCTTCCCTCAGGGCAACTCCTCCAGCCACTCCCCCCCCAGCACTGGCCAGCTGCAGCAGCGCTGCCGCTGCCAGTGTTGCTGCTGCTTCTCCCACTGTTGCTGCCGCCTCTCCTCTCCCGTGTGCTCCAAGTTTGTTCATTTGGTGCTCCTAGGATCAGAGCACCACGAAGCGGTGGGACATTTGCACTGCCTCCTCTAGAGGGGCATGTCACGCTCGCGGGTGTGACACGCCCACCCGCCAGCATGACACGCCCCTCTGCAAGCACAACATACCCACCTGTGAGCGTGGGGGTGCTCCTGCCCCCCAACTGGTCTGTGCACGGAGCCCACACACCCCAACCAGTCTGCGGTCTGAAAAAGGTTGGGGACTGCTGGGCTGGGGAAGGTGGGGCACCCCCACGTGCATGCACATGTGCATACATGAACAAGCATGCTCGTGCATGTGCAAACAGTGGTGCGGTGCTCGCACAGGCATTTTGGAGCACAAATGCAGGTGCAAACAGTCTATGCAGGGATGAGTGCATGCAGGAGGGCCCTGGGAGGTCTGTCTTTGTGGCACGGCGCGGCGCGGCTCAGGACACGGACTGGCACCAGGCCATGGACCGGGCTTGGGGTCCTCTGTCATAGAGAGAAGGGTAGAATCTGTTCTTGATCATCTCAGAGTATACGACACATAATAATGGGCTCAAGTTACAGGAAGCCAGATTTCAGATAGGAAAAACATCCTAGCTGTTAGAGCAGTATTACAATTCCCACATTAAGCAGGGGGATGGACCTGTTGGCCCCTTCCAATTCTATTATTATGTAACTCTGTGGTTTATTGGTTCCTAGTAGTGGCAAAATATACGTATAGCTATCTTAGTAGATAATTTTGTAGGAAGGGTAGGCATTGTTTATGTATATGTATGTGAGTCCCTTCCCTATACCTCACCCAATGTCTGATATGGACCCATGACCTAATGGTACATATTTCTGTAAAACAGGATTTACAAATCTCATATTTTATATCATGGGTTCTGAGCATTGGAAGCATGCTGTAGGCTCTCATGCTGCATATTATTTCTCCTGTCCCATGGATGAGTTCCTTCCTCCACTTGTTTGCTTTTGATTGAAATTATGACTTGGAGTTTGAAAGCTGTAGTTACTAGACAGTGTTTTACCATAGTTTTCTGGCCTGCTTATCATGTAGAATACTTTTAAGCAGAGATTTACTTTATGTACTTGCCTTGTCTCTGTTTCTGATATGTAAATTAAATTGTGTTCATTTGGGGTTTTTTTTCCAAACACAGGGCGAATGGGGAAGTTGCTTCCTGGCGACCAAAATCTGAAATTGAACCTTTGGCCAAACCAAATTTAGATCCTGAACAGTTACCACTGAGACCTAAATCGGTGGAGGTAGATTCTGCTGTAATAAAGAACATGAAAGAATCAGGTATGCTATTTTTAAAAGTTATATAAGTTGAAAAATCTTTTTTACTATGAAATATTGAAATAACAAGGCATTTTGTAATATCTCAAAAGACTTAACAAATTTATTATGGCATATGCTTTTCTGGCCTAGAGCCCATTATTTTTCTTCTTCTTTTTGTAACTTGAGTACCGTGTTTCCCCAAAACTAAGACAGGGTCTTATATTAAGTTTTGCTCCGAAAATGCATTAGGGCTTATTTTCAGGGGATGTTTTATTTTTTTTCATGTACAACAATCTACATTTATTCAATTACAGTCATGTCATCATCTTCTAGTTGTTGCACAATGCTACACAATGGTGGAGGGTAGGGTTTCACTTAACTGGGGTTTATTTTTGGGGTAGGGCTTATATTACGAGCATCCTGACAAATCATATTTATTTATTTATTTATCTATCTATCTATCTATCTATCTATCTATCTATCTATCTATCTATCTATCTATCTATCTATCTATCTATCTATCTATCTATCTATTTTCAAGTTAGGGTTTCTTTTCAGAGAAACAGAGTAGCTATCCCTGTGAAAGTACTGGAATAAAAATCTTCAGTGTGCTTCCCCCATCTGTAATCCATCAGGTTTTTTTAAAGTACTCCAATATTTGAATCTCTAAAAAGATCCATACTACTGAGGACACACATGCTTATTTAAACATTGGTATTAAACAACAAGCAAATGATATAATATTGGAAAAATGAAGACATGTATAATAAAACAAATTGAGCATGAAATCCCAGACAGAAAAATATTTTGTCTTGTAAGTAGAACCATCCTCCTGATACATTTTCCTGTAACAAACAAAATTTCAACCACTAAATAGAGATGGGGATATTTGTATATGAATACGAATTCTTATATGAATACGAATTCGTATATGAATATGAATATACCCCCACAGGTGGAGCTAACAAGAGTCCACTCACGATTGCACCGCTGTCACAACCGCCGCGGAACCTTCCAATGGCTCCGGAGATCGTGTTTGGTGAGCTACTCTTCGACCTAGCAGAGAGGCTTGTCGTCCTACCTCCTGCCAGGAGTGGCGAGCCAAACACAATCTCTGGAGCCATTGTACGGCTCCGTGGCAGTCGCAACAGCAGCGCAATCATGAGTGGACCATCTGCCCCTATGGGGCTGGACCCTCATTGTCTCCACCTGTGGGGTGGGGTACCACTGACTTTTCATAAACATTTTAAAAGTTGAGGGGTTAAGGCATAGATAGAAGGATATGCTCAATTTTTCTGTTTGAAAAACAGAAAAATTGAGGATATACTTCTATGCCTTAACCCCTCAATTTTTAAAATGTTCAACAAAAGTCGGTGGTCAAAATTTTGTTTGCATAACTTTTTGCAGTGTAAGAGTGATGGTATCATCAACTCATACCAGTAAAAATTATTTCAAGTTAATTAAGTACTTCCTGTCTCTATTTGTGGTTTGGAGGCTCCCTATAACTTCCTTTTCACCTGGGGAAGCCTTATGGAGCCTTGAGATGGGACAGAGAGCCTTTAATTGCCAGAAATTGCTGGCCTTTGAACCTCAAATGGGGAAGGGGGAATAGGAAGCATTTAATTAACTTAAAATAAATTTTACCAGCACTGCGCAAAGTTACACTAACAGGATTTGGGCCACACTTTTAAGGTGGTTTTCATTTACAGTTGCTTGAATTATGTGGGGATTGTGAATCATGAAATTTGTCAACATTTGAATTTGACTCATGCAAGAAGTGCTTTCTTTAGCCTGATATTGAGCTAGCTGTAAAGCAGGTGCTATTTAATAGAGAAATGTTCACAAACCTTTGTTTCTTTTGTTTCTGTTCATATCTCCATCTTTGCTGAGTCCCCAGCCCCACAAAGTACATTGTATATAAACCATTTCGTTCTGTATGTCTGATTGTGAAGGAGTTTGGAATTTATGGAAGTCAGACGTTAAGGTGCCACAGTACTTCTATTTTTCCTTTTCTATTTTCTTTTTTCCCCCTCATACATCTGTCTGTTTGGTTCAAATCACTATTGAAATTCATTGCCCTTCATTGTGTTACACTGTCACTTCCCTACCCAAAATATGCTGCCCTCTTATAACCAAGGCCCTGTGTGAATCTATCCCTTCTGAAGCAATTCTACCTCTTCCCTTGTCCTTGCTTTCTTCATCAGTTGGTCTGACTCTCAAACCTTGCCAACCCTCAGCCTTCCTGACAATTTCTTTACAGTTTTTATGAATAAAAATACTATTTTCACTAACAGTTATGTTCAACTCCTTAATAAGCTGGACTTTAATCACACTGTTTTTATTTGCATCACAACATTTTGTGCAGAAATGCTCATTCAAAGACCCTTTGAAAAGTAAGCTTGATTTTTCTTCTCTTTTACTGCCCTTCCAACAAAAGCTTTCTGGGAAGAAAAATATACAAATGCTTCAGCCTATTATGATTTGCCTTTTTACACAAAATGTATGCTGATTTACATCAAAAAACATTCTGCACAAATAAGATAGCTAAATAAATAAATATCTTGTTACGGAGACTGGGACTTTGCTGAGAATGACAAGAGAGAACATTAGCAAAACAAAGAATATAAATATTGCACTCAAGCCCACTGATTTGTTTCTTGGTTGATATTTAAGGTTTGGAACTTCCCTTTTGAATTTTATGTTCTTACAGATAAAATAGAATATTTCTCAGTGTGATGATTGTTTAACAGGAATTCGCCATGCTGAATTTTGTTTTCTACATAAGTGAATCACACGTTATTTAAAAGAGTTATTAACGGGATGTTTTAAATTTTAAAGTATATTATAAAAATAAATTAACTGAAATTATGGTGACTAGCAGAAAGACCAGGCTTAAACTTGACTTACTTACACATTATTGAATGGATTCTCGCCATAGTAGATTGTTTGTTTGTTTTGATTTTTTTAATGTTTCTGACTCCACTGTCAGTTGCCAGGGACAGTGTAAAACTGATAAATTCTCTAGTACTTCATTTTACGTTTTCCATTATAAATTGATTTTAAGCCTGGTAGACCATAATACTAAGCTGTAATTTATTACCTTCTTTTAAATTGGGCAGAGCTCAAAAATGAAAGCTTGCTCTCATGTGCCCAGAATATTAACAAAGCAGTGAGAAACTTGTGGTTCTCCAGATACTGTGGGACCTCATTTCCCATCTGGTCTAGGTTTTGTGGCCAGTGATCAAGGATGGTGGCAATTCTAGTCCTGCATAGATCACCCCATTCTCATTTAACATTTCTGCTTACAAATCACTCTGGTTGCTGTTATGAACCCTGCTTCATGTCCACATTTTAAACCAAAGAGGGCAAGACCCCAGTTTTGGAGAGTACTATCATACAACTTTCAAATTGGTAAATTTAAATGCAATATTTCTTTTGATACTGGTTTATTTGATTTTTTAAACATTGGCAGTGCTTTTAAGAACTTATTTTCTCCATATATAATAAAATTGACACTTCTGAAATAATTTATTTATTTATTTATTTAATTTATACCCCGCCTATCTGGCCCACCGGACCACTCTAGGCGGCTTCCAAATATAAAATCAAATAATAAAACATAGACAAATACAGTGGTGCCCCGTATAGCGAGGTTAATCCGTTCCGGATTAACCCTCGCTATACGGAATCATCGCTAAACGGGTAGGGGAAAGGTATTGGAACGCATTAAACTTCGTTTAATGCGTTCCAATACCTTCGTTACTTACCCGTTCAGCGAGGATTCCAGGTGCCGGCAGCCCTTTTCGCGACTTCGCTAAGCGAGGGCAGGGC